CGAAGGCGAAAGCTCACTCAGGCGGCCACTGCGAATGTTCATGAGAAACAAGCCTTGAGATCTTCATCACCGATAACAAACACTAAAATCAATTGTGACAGAAACATTTACAGAAGAAAATGGAACGATGTCAGAAAAACATTGGGGGGGGCGTCAAGTATATGTTGGAGATGGGAATTAGGGTTTTGTGGACATGAAAGGGAAGTGGGATAACGGTGTCATTATATAGACAAGCGTTTGAGAATTAGAAAACATTGACCCTCAAAGATTATGTTTTCTTTGAGTCAAAATTTCATTAAAATAATGTTTATAAAATATCAAATTTAAGTTTTAAATTCTATTTATTTATTTAAAAGATATATTTATGCCATTAAATTTTATTTATTTGTTTTGTGTTGGACGGAACAAAACAAATCCGGATGTTTCGTGTTTGGCGTTATATAGGAAACGGACTGGATGGGACAAAAATGTTATTTTCGTTAGGTAGAACAAATGGGATGATAATATGAAAAGACTAAAAAATTACCAATCTACCCTTGTTAGATATAACTCTAATTTGGTATTTGGTTTAGTGGTTATCATCGTCCATCGTTGCTGCTGCAACCACCCGCGACAACCACCGACCACCTCCATAATCACTGCCTTTATCACCACGTGCCACCTCCATAATCACCGCCTTTATTTCCATTGGCTACCACTACCACCACCTACCACCTTCATATTGATATGTATATATGTATGTGTATATAAGTTGGTATATAGTTGAAGGGTGTACGGGTATGCAAACCTTATATGATACTTTAAGGTTAAAATTGTTTAAAGGTTCAAGAATGGTGAAACCAACAAGGCTACATATTATTTTGATGAATATGACATCAGAGCTGGGAGGTCCATAACACATGCCAAAGTTAGCGAACAGTATTGATGAACTGTTTTGAGCTCCTTTATCAGCTGATTAAGGTAGGACTCCCCTAGCCATATATCAATAACGAGGTTGACAAGGAATTAACTGTTACAAGGAACCATATGAGTCAAATATAGCATGAAGGCGCGACTTTATGTGAGACATGAACATTGTGTCTAACCTTATGAATGTTATTTATGGGATATTTATATCCGAATAAGTGAACTTGATAATTATGAGTTTGGTTATATTCCAAAAATATGACATGGTAACCACATTGTTTTATTAACTTTTGGTGAAATTAGGTGTGAGGATTTTCATGTTACCCGTGTTTACAGATCATACAATGTCTTGAAAATATGAAATGTTTATATGAGTAGATCGAACTCTGATTAAATGTTTTATGATGTAAACTCTTGATCTCACAGGGCTTGAAGCTTGAATCCTTTTGTTTTTCGACATGTATTCCATAATCTAGATTAGGTTTGGCAATGGTAGAAGTAATGGTGGTGCTCGTGGAGGTAAGCGTTGACAAGTAATGTTGTTGATTGACTCGGTATGTTTGACTACCATATCATGTAAAGCAAAAGATCAGGCAAGATTAACCACAATGGTAGTGTCTGATTGGTTTGAGCTTGACTCCAAAGGTCAAAAGTAGCAAGAGGTCCCAGATTCAAATCCAAGTAAGAATAAAAATACCCTTGTGGCCACAGAGGTTCAAATGTGATAACTTTTCATCAAACTTGTCAGCTACTCTATTTGTATATTAATGATTTAGTGATCTTGTAGGTGCATCCCCCAAGTACTAATTCATGCGTCAAATTTGAAAATCTTTTAGTTACAAGTTATAAGCACGGGTTACAACTTACAACTGCACACCTTTTCATCAAACTTGTCAGCTACTCTATTTTAACAATTCTAACACTAATTATATACTTAAAATATTTAACAAATATAATAAAATGTTGTTTCTTTCCCCTAAACATTTATTATTAGTATCTTTTATTTGTGGAAAGTATTAAAATAATAATTTCTCTCTCTATTCAGATATTTCTTTAAATTTAGATGTTTTTACAATCTTTTTTTTTTCTTTCTCTATTTTAGCATACAAGATATCATAGTTGTTTAAGCCAAAAAATGCTAAAACACTGATTTTCTCTATTTTAACATAGTTGTTGGAGATACTTCAAGGTATTTTGATAACTCTCAATTTTAAGAGTTATTTGTTGTTCAATACTTCTATTTTTTTTATATCTTTTATATACCCATTTTACCTCTATCTTATGTTTTTGGTTTAAAATGCTCTTAAGAAGTGATGAAAGGTCAATGATTTGATTTTATCTGAAAATTGTCACTGCTAGACAATGCCCACTGCATTCCTACTTCCTGCCGATTGTGATAATTTTCAGACTGGATAAGGTTAAGCACAATATTTTCTGGATATTTAGCGAATTTAAAATTGCAGTCCATCCTGGAGATATCACAAAATCTAAAGGGATGGACCATTTTGTTTAAAAAAGAACTTTAACTAAAAACATGTAAAATCCGTATCTCTACGTGATTATCAAAGATTCTTTCAAATTTTTGTGCATCACCTAAGACGTATTTCGAATCCGTCAATCTCTGGATTAAAGATCTAATATTAACACTTTAAAGTGATTGGAAGCATTGAGTTTATGTCCCGATTTTAAGTGACTAAACTTAAGAATTAGTAATATTGGTAAAGCCCAAGTGTGCCTCATAGTCTTAAGTTTGACTCATGCTGACACCCAAAAAGGATGATTAGGTCATAATAAAACTAAAGAATATAAAAGGAGTAAAGAAATGCATACCGAATACTTGAACTAAAATTCAACTAAAATCGTTGCCTCCGTGGACAGACAGTGGACAAAAACGTAACTAAACTTAAATACAAGACAAGAAGTAAAACATAAAATTAAACTCTAACCATTGCTCTAAATCTTCACTTGAGAGTAAATTCTCCAAAGATTTTCAGTTGAGAGTAAATTATCCAAAGATCTTCAATTGAGAGTAAATGCTCCAAATGATTTTTCTTCGTATAAGAGAAAGAGAGAGATGGACATCTCTTTCATCTAAAGGAAAGAAACACCCTTCCTACTTTAGGATAAAGACTTCATTTCATTTTTTTTTGCAAGATCATTTCAAAAAGTAGGGATGGACATCCCCTTGATTTAAGGAAAAAATACTTTTAAGTTTCAAATATTAGTCAGCGATTTACACTACAACAGATTTGAGTATAAATCCAGACTAGTAGAACTAGATATATTTTTATCACTTAGCTAAATCGGCAAGCTTAAAATCTATCATAGCAGGAACTTTGTAGACACTTCGTGGACACAATATATGAAAATTCACTTTAGAAATATTAGAGTTTTTATAGAAGTCTCATGAGTTTCTGATCATCATGTTTTTACAATCATCTTAAGTAAAACTTATACACATACTCATCTCTCTTCATTTAAAAACGACAATCATCTTAAGTAAAACTTATACACATACTCATCTCTCTTCATTTAAAAACGTACACAAAAAGTTTATGAAACTCTTTGATTCTCAGTAGTCCAATCCACATTCTTGATACTATACCACTTTAAAGGGGATTTACCAAAAAGTTGTTTAATTAATATTTTGGTAGTTGTAAATTGTAATATTACTTAAAATATCTCAAGTTAGCAGAGGAGTTTAACAGAATTGGTTTTAAGGATGAAAAATATAACAAATTGTAAATCATAGGGAGAAAATCGTAATTTCAAAATCACAGGGACGAATTCTGTTTCTCGAATCTTTCTCAAATCAAGTTGCCACCTTCAAGTTGAGTTTGGCTCGTTTGCAACCCAAAGTAAATATCAAGCACGATTCATGTGTAGGTTAGAAATTAAAGGTGATCAGGAATCCAGATCACTTCTTATGCTTTACACGATCATTCGTCTATATAATATAGCCATATACGTGATCAAAGGGAAGCACGTTTATGCAGTTCTATGATGGGCTTATTTTCTTTGATCATTTTTGTTTCTGGTTTTTTTGGAATTTTGTTTTATAAAATTATTTGACAGCAAAATTCCTTGCAAGATAAGTTCCAACCCACACGAAAAGTCAGGAGTTCCAAACGAAAGTCGGTTTAATTCATATTTGATTAAGAGATGGATCAGATTTCTGGCTTGGATTCTCTTTTCTTAAAAAGAAAAAGAGAATGTAAAAATAGCGCACAGTATAATCAACTTCGATCATCTGGGGAAATAATCATCATTTCCATCTCATTTTACTAAACAGAATCCACACTCACAAACATTCAAATCAATTTCAAGCATATAGTTTTAAGAAATTCTCATGTTAAAAGATGGAAGATAATAGAAGCCATTGATCAGAAAATTGTAGTCTGGAAGTATTTTCGATCGACATCATTTTTTCCGACAACTTTCTCATCCCCTCAATGCCTCCATTACAAACACTAATCAATTGAAATATAAATAGATCAAGGGAGCTCAGAAGGATCCATTGGTTGTTTCTAATCAAGAATCATAAAATAGGTAGTTTTCAGCATCATAGCAACTCTAATCATTATTAACAAAACAGAATTCSATTCAAGGACTGTTRCACAATYGTGTGAAAATGTTTTTGCTGCCAGTTGCAATTGATAAGCGTAATTAAAAAGGGATCTCTCAGACAAATGCCTCGATTCGTCTTCATGATTGAATGGAATGGATTAAATCAGACTCGTCATCTATGAAATC